CTATGTATGATCAAGCATAAATTCTGAATTCTGTATATGAATTGAATAAGAATACGAATATGAAACTATTCTATGTACAAGCTCAGTCATGGGACATCGTTCATTTAACCCTTTACTTTGTTATTATTCACTAGGATTGTGCTTACTATTTATATTATGCATGTAGGTGATTACGCACGAGACCAGGCTCAGACTTGAGGACCTGGCGTTTCAGTTTTTGTCAGCTAACCTTTGTACCTCCCGAGGAGGTTCCGAATTAAGTGAAGTCTAGTGGCTGTGTTATTATGGATGTATAAGACTTTGTTTCTTTGTTCCTCGAACAAGTTTTTTTTATTTTTTTTATTTTTTATATACATGAAGTGACGTGTAAATACTGTATCTTTTGACGTCACTCGTAAGTTTATGAAAATTTAAGATTATCTGTTTCATGTATGTCTTCATAGCTCGATAGACTATGTATATTTTATGTATTTGCTTCCACAGCCCCTAATTATTCATTATTATGTTAAGAGGCCTTTGGTAATCCAAGGATTACTGGCCAGTTACAACGCTAAACCTATAGGGCGAGTTTGGGTTGTGACAAGCAAGCACACAAAAAAGTAAATTGACCATACTAACAACCCAACATCAAGAAATTAAAATAGCACCCTTTACCTTAAATAGTATTTGACTTGTTTAAGATTAGCCACCAACTCATGTACTGAGTAATGAAAACCCCCTCAACTGCTCCTCACCCATAGTGCCACTCTTGTTTTTATCACTTCAAGCATCTTATCAACCACCAAATGCTTACCATTTGTTATGAGAATAAAGAGAAATTGAGAGGGAAAGGGAGAGAGAGAGAGAACATAACTTTGTATATTTCAATGAATTAATATGAGTGAATACAAGACTCCTTTATATAAGAGAATAAGAAGTTAATATAGTAATGCACAATAAACAGCACCTCATTTCTCATCTTCCACACATACCACATTAGAATCAGAGGCCTTTTATATTTTTCTCTTCATTTTCTTCATCCTCACTCCATCCCACCATTGTCATACCTCAACCACTGATCTTGGTATTTCCATGCATAGATCCCATAATTTTATCACACCAGACCATAACAAACAAATCTTCGAGCAGTGAAGAAGAATATGGTTTAAAGACTCTGTTTCATTTCTACAAAACAAACACAAAACACTAGCATTATCATTTAAAACTCCACTTCTCTACAGGAAAACAGATGTTTTGATTTTACCAAGCTAAGCTAACCAACAGAAAAACTTCACCTTAGGGGAGCGACATTTCTCCATGCCAATTTAGAGATTTTGAGTGTAGAGTCACTTTCTTCCACTTTCCATCTCCAAATTGGGGCTACAGAAAACAATCCAGATGAAGATGTTGTCCACCTCAAGGAATCCTCCATTGATTCTCTAACAATTGGGGCCTCTAGCAACAGAACATCCAATCTTCCCACCTCTTTCATTTCCTAAGCAAACAATGGTCTTCTAAATCCAACATCCAATTACTTGAATTACCCCTTCTTATACTAATTTGATTCAGAGAGTCCTCCTTCTCCACAAAAATGCTAAACAATCTAGGAAACTCTTCTTTGAGGATGATGTTCCTTAACTATCTGCCACTCTAGACCCATTTCCAACCACAATTCTTGTATTTTCCTTAAAGAACTCAACTAGTTGTGGGTTAGAATAAGCAATACTCATAATACTCTGCCACACTATATAAACCACACCTAAACCCCTCTGAAATGGTAGCCATCTACCTCCAGAAGGATTTACTGCATAAAATCTGTTTCCAAAGTGACATGTCTTCAACCCCGTATCTTACATGTATGCAAAACATTAGTACAATAAATGTATAGTGGCATTCATTGCAACAAAATTGTGATAAAACATCATTTAATAAATAAATTTAGTTTGATCATCTCAACTAGGGCCGATCCTGAGATAAGGCGGGTAACATGGCGCCTCAGGCTCCCAAATTTTATTTGAAAATAGGGTCTCGAAATAATTTTGATCTTAAATTATGTTTGATTTATTAAAATAAAGTTGAATAAAGTAATCATTTTATTGTAATGTCTATTTTCACGTTTGATTTACTAAAAAAGATTACAAACAAAATCGTCATTCACTATTGTGAGGAAATAGTAATTTTACAAAATAGATTAAGAAATTACCATTTTATTCCATTTAAATCAATTTCATTTCTATTTAATTTAACTTCATTTCAGTGAACCAAATACTACATTATATTGAAAATGAGGTTTAAACAAACAGTTGAATTGGTGAATTATTTAAAAATAATGAATGGTTGTTCATCAAATGTATGAATTATTTATAAAATATTGTTTGACTGTACGAGTTATAATTGCTTTTGGAGAAATATATATTTTTTTTAAAATTGAAATTAATCAAATTTTACAATTTAATTTACTACATCAGGAAAAAAAAATGTGAATAAATTAATAATGTTAACAATTGAAAATGTTCAAAATTTATCTCAATAACTATGATTATATCAATAATTATGTGTACCAGATGCAATAAATTTATGAAAAGTACAAACAAAAAATAAAAATAAATTGAGACCAATATATATATATATATATATTTTAAAATATGTATAAAAGCTTAGGCTTTCAGAAAGTCAAGGCGGTCCTGATCTCAACAACAATACAAAGAGTCCGTTTGAGATGTGAATTGATTTTTTGATTTTTTAACTTTTTAGTTATTATAGTTTAGGTTTAAAAAGTTTCATTTGGGATAAATTTTTTGACTTTTTTTTATTTATTTTTGTGAGATAAAATATAAAATAATTATGGGTTGAATGTAACATTTTGCCCTATTTAACTAAAATAACTTATTTTATCCTATAAAATCGTTTTAACCCAAATGTATATCTTAATCGGAGCCTTTGGTGTTGTTATACTTTGACTAGGAATACACCACATTACAGCATATAATCAGAAAAAAAAAAAATTACCAAATTTTAGTTTTGATATGAAGGATAACTCGCCATTAGAGTTACTCTACAACAGAGAAAAAAAGAAAAGAAAAAAAAGTTATATAATTTTTATACAAATTCATGTTCAAAAAAATAATGTGACAGTAATATTTTTTAAAATTTATGCCACTTTGATATTTTTTGCGTTAAAATAAGAAAATCAACACTTATCATACAATTTTGTACTAATTATATGTATTTTTTTTATAAATAATATTACTTAAGAAAAGGAAAAAAATTAAGAGAAATTACAGGTTGCAACTATGCTATAAGCCAAAAATCTGAGAAATTGTTGTGCTTAAAAATATCGTGAGAAAGTGACGGGTACTTATTTTTATATGTGACGGTAATATTTTTTAAAATTTATGCCACTTTGATATTTTTTGCGTTAAAATAAGAAAATCAACACTTATCATACAATTTTGTATTAATTATATGTATTTTTTTTTATAAATAATATTACTTAAGAAAAGGAAAAAAATTAAGAGAAATTACAGGTTGCAACTATGCTATAAGCCAAAAATCTGAGAAATTGTTGTGCTTAAAAATATCGTGAGAAAGTGACGGGTACTTATTTTTAACATACCATATGTCTTCGCTGTAGCTAACCACGTGCATAGATGCATCAAAGTTCGTAGAAACCAGAAAAGAAATAAAAAATAAAAAAATATGAAGGTACAAGTATTTGATTAAGATTAAATTTTATAAGAAAAAGATAGAATAATTTAAAAATTTAGTTATAAATAACTAACACATTCAATTTGTCTTCTATTTTTTGCAAGAAATTAAAAATTAATTACAATGCTAATATAGGTTATACAAGAAAATTTTCGTATAAAGATAAAAAGTATACTTATTTAGGTCATTTCAAACAATCCCTAAATATGGAGTTCTAAAGAGAGATCTAATTAGCTGGCCTCCCGATGATGTGATGGTTGTATCTATTTGTTTGTTTGTTTATTTATTTATTTTTGTTTATTTTCATTTTCAATTCATTAGAGTTGGTTTAATATTTTTTGTTAGAGTTCTAAGTTAGTTCTCTTTTCTTTTTTTTTTTTGGATTATTATTATTATTATTATTTTGTATATCTTTTTAATAAAAAGTCAAAAAATATATTTATTTAGATTATTGGCCCTGTTTGGTAGGACTTATTTCTAATTTTTAACTTAATTTAAGCTATTTTGATGTGTTTGGTTCAGCTTAACAATACAGCTTATACCTTTTTATAATTCAAAAATCAATTTATTCTTTGAGTGGGGGAGGAGAAGTTTAATTTATAAGTAAAAAATCAACTTATATTCACAGTTATAACCTATAAGCTGTTAGGCTATAAGTTATAATTACTTTCCCACAACTCCACCAAACGGGACCATTATCTCAAAAAGTTTTCAAATGCAAGATTTTACAAATTATTTTAAGGGAATTTTTCGGTGTGCAATGTAATCCAAATGTAACCCATATGTAATTTTAACATAAAATTATATAAAATTTTATTATTCTATGTAAATGATTTCATAAAAATACATAAATTAAACATAAATTCATTTAAATTATTAAAAATTTATGTAATTTTGTGATAGAATTACATACTTCATGTATTGCAAATCGAAATTTTTATCCTTATTTTTAATGTCCGACTCATTAAAAAACTTAAGTAAAGAAAAAAAAAACTTACTCCACTTGGAGACGTCTGTTTGGTTTGTGTTTGTAGAGTAGTTTTTGAGATAAAAAGTACGAAAATTTATTTGGTTTGTCTTTTTTCAGAAATAGTTTTGAAAAATTATTTTTAGGAGAGAATTTTAAAAAAAGTGATTGATTTGATGTGTATGAGAAAGAGAGTGGCTTTGAAAAGTAAGTAACCAAATAAAATTTTAAGGTTTTTTAAAAAGAAATTTATTTGATTTGATTACTCTTAAAAATTTATTTGTAAAGAATTTTTCGCAAAAATTTTTCTCCAAAACAAACCAAACAAGTGTGTTTCAGTGTTTTTAGAGAGAGAAAGCGAGGAGTGAGAGAGAATGTGTGTTTTATGTGCATTGGATCCTTCGCCGAAGTGGGTATGAAAACCTCCACCTTCTCTCTCTTTCTTTCATCATCCAAAACATTGGAAAAGCTGAAAATCCAAAGAAATTGATTACTAAACAAATAAAAAAGATAGTGAGTTGATGATTATATTCTTGACACACCAGCAATTCTATATCACCCCTCTCCTCTCCTACCCATCTCTCTGTCAGTTTCTCGACCCTACCTTTCATTTCACGCTTCTTGTTCTTATTCTCTGTTTGTTTCCACAGATCTTTATTCCTTTCCAATTTTCTCTACATGAATTTACTTTCCTTCATGGGTACATCTGATTGTGGGTTGTTTTTCTCCGACAAGGATTCAAATTCCATGGAATTCAATTCCATTTCAAAACCCGCGTCAGAATTTCAAGAAAAGACTCATACTCATGATGATCATCAGCTTCAAGAACAACAAGGAGAACAAGAAGTGAAAGGTGAGATTTCAGTTTCTTGTTTAAAAATCAAGACACCATCTCTCGGAGAATTTAAGGATGAGGAGGAGGAGGAGGAAGGGTGTAGAACTCCAACTTGTTTGGATCAGATAATTCCATTGGTCCCCCAATGCCCACCTGCACCAAGAAAGCCCAAGAAAATGCTATTGATGAAGAGAAAAGCGGCTTCTCGGCGAACCCTGCTTGATCTGTCTAGTGAGGTTGAGGCATTGTTTCCTCCATCTCTTCTTGTGAATCTTGGTGGTAAAATCAAGAAAGTTAGAACAGAAAATTCCACCAAATGAATGTTATTATGTATGGTTTTATATTATTTATGTATAAGCGAATTTTGTGGATTGTTGAGTGGATATTTCTACCGAAAATTCACTCCTTCTATGCCAATATTGTTGTCATTAGTGCTACTATGTATAATATTTTTTCATAATTTTTATATAAAATTTTCAATCTGATATGATAGTAATATTTTTAAAATACTAAGTCGCTTTGATTGGCCATTTGTTATGAAATGGAAGGATTGAAATCTATTGCGTCATCCTGTATGAATATTCTGTATGATTTTCTGTTTATATTTTCTAAGTTCAATTTTTCAGTTTTACAATTTTTATTATTTGTTTTGTTTAGGATGGTAATCATACTTCTTGTTCGGTAATGGGTGGTGTTTGGCTCAAGAACCAGATCTGATATTTTCTAAGATAAAAAAAATGGAAAAAACATCGAAACCAAAGCATATGAATGATGTTTACACGCCATTCTTACTTTGCTGCAACAGATTTGTATGTAAATTGTAATCTAAGACTAAAATATACAGTTTTAGTTCTCTCTCTCTCTGTCTCTCTCTGAGTTGTGGGTTTAGAAATCATTGTTTGCATTGACATTAACTTCTTGTGGGGGTTGAGGAATGATTTGTATCGACTTTCCCAAAAGATTCAAACATCCTTCATTGTTTTTACCAGTAAGGTGAAGAAAACCATGAAGTATATTCTCTGCTGGCCCATATTTTTCCAATATAATAAATAAAGTGCCTTTTAATTGCTTTAATTTTTTTTTTTTTATGATCGGGTGTCCGGATGCAGTTTGACTAATCTCGAGACCACGCAAAGCGTTTCTACACATCGATCGGATAAATCTTCACATATTCCAAGCTTTAATTTATCATTTTTCACAAATATAAAGTAATTATCCAATAAAAATCTTGAAACTCTAATCTTAGGTTAAAATACTTTTTCTGTGACACAAATTGGTACCTACTAATATGCTAACACAATAATACTCACCCTTTTGAAGGAAATTGCAATTCTAAATTTGTATCTAGTTTTCTTTCAACAAAATTAAATTAATAAATAAAGCAAAGTAGATGCTCTTTACGCTATGTTATTATTAATTATTTTAGCTATTGGATGGGTTCAATTGCTTTATTTATTTATTTATTTATTCATTCATTTATTTATTTATTTATTTTGCAACTAGCAGTCTTAACTTTAATGTACTACTCTCTAACCTTTTATCACATGAGCACCAAATAAATAAGTGCAAGTTCCACCTAAAATAAAAGAAACAGATCCAGTTGAGCTACAACTTATAAAACACTTTGTCTTGTTTCCCGCGAGAAGCTGGTGATAAAGATTTCTGATGCAAATAACAAAAATAAATTTCTGTTGTCTTTAAAAAAAAAAATAGAAAAAGAAAATAAAAGAGTGATAGGGAGAGTGTTTGAAAATATAATATAAATAATAAGACTATCATTCAGTTTAAGTTTTTAGATGAATTGATAATTAACAATTTAATATGATATAAGAGCATACAATAGATTTTATCTTTAAATCTCACTATTACCTACTTTATAATTAAAATAATTGGACATGTTTGGCTTGCACAGAAAAAAAAGACATGTAGAAAATATAATATAAATAATAAAATTATCACTTTCACTATATGATAGGTGAAAATTTGGAAATACAATAATTTCAATGCATGATTACATGGTTGAAAGTTGTGAAAATTTTCAGATATAAATTCTTAATGCACCGAAAATGTATTGATTACCAAAAAAAAAAAAATTTGTGGATGGAGGGGAGTCTTGAGCCTTTTCTTGCACAACTTTGCTACATAAGTAAACCACAAATTAACAAGGTTTATTTGGAACAACATTAGCTTGAAGGTCAATGCATGTAATGAGCATTTACCTGAAGATAAAGTAAGCGCACAGTTTTTTTTTTTTTTTTTTTTATGTTTGAGAAACTCACATGATTGAGAGTGGTTGTTTGTCCCTATATATCCTTATCCTAGCAGACAGTTTGAGATTCATCTCTCAAGTTTGGTTGCTTAATGTTAGTGCCATATAATACCGGACAAATTAAAGTAGTATAGCTTTTTTTTTGGTTGACTTTTATGGTTTACTCATTGTTAATTTGGTAATTATAATTATAATTATAAAATTATTTTTTAATTTTGTGTTTTGTGTTTAATTGGTTTACTCGATAGCAATTGTGATAATTTTTTTGGTGGAAAATGGTGGCTTGATATCCTCATATATATTTGCATTCTACATGGTGAAAATGAAACGCAAAAAAAAAAAAAGCATGGTGAAAATGGAAAAAATCAACCAAAACCGTTTACACTACCACTAATTAATTAACTACCCCATAATTTGCTTCTTATAATTTTTTGTTATAACAAATTTTCTCTTTAAATTTTTTAATTTATTTGATTCAATTGAAAATAATTGTGAACATTTTTATTCATCCCTCTATCAATACCCACCACTAATTAACTAACCATCCTCCCAACCAACGCACTTTAGCAGTGACTCTTCTCTGCATAGAAGAAGTCAACAGTTCAAGTGAAATTGTGTGGTGTAATTTTAAGGGTTGGGCTTTCATCCAGATCTTGGATGGGGTGTTGTTTGAGTTTGTAAGATACAAATAGGATTTTATTTTGGTAATTTAAATTTTTTATTTTCTATAATTTTTTTTTGTATATATTATTTACATAAAAAAAATTAAATTAATCAAATAACTATAATATTTTTAATTTATCACGTTTATTATAAAAAAGAAATCGATAATCTATTTTAAAAAAACAAAGTTACAATTATAAAATCGACTTATTTTTTCGGGATAATATATACAAAAAAAACCTTTAAAAATAAATAGCTCAAGTCATTGAAGACCCATACACTTACCTAATACACATATTGGGCGTGATTATGTATTTAGGATTTACTTAGGTCTCATTTGAAAGTATCAAATTTTAGTTTAAAAATTAAAAACTCATTAAAAAAGTCAACAAATTATTAAAAAAGTCAAATATTTTCTTTTATCTATACTTTTACACATTTTTTTTTCGTAAAAAGTCATTTCAAACATATTAGTTTTTTGTTTTTAAAAAAATTACAATTTAGTGCTAGATAGATAAAATAAGTATAAATTTATAAAAAAAAATTTTACGATTTTAATTATTAATATTTATAAAATTTACCACTGATTGGTAATTATTTTTTGTAAACATCACTAATGTGATACTTTCTTCTATTTTTTTTTTTATAGAAAAAATTAGTAAAATATCACTCTCTAACTTTGTGTAGTAGGAGAGGTCTAAGATGTTTTTTTTTTCTTAGCTAAGGTCCATCAATGAAATTTCTCTATAATCATACCAGAGAAATTTCAAATTTTCTCTGTGAAATCAGAAAAATTTCTCTATAAAAATTGAAATTTCTCTGTGTCGAGGTCGAAATTTCTCTGAGTTGAGTGAAATTTTTCTAAGTCGATTTTTTTTTTTTGTGAAAATATTGAGAGACCTTAACTACTATGAAAATATTACATGTCTTTTATCTCATAAAATTTTAATATCAAATACCTTAAAATTTTTTTTTACCTCATATTTTAGCTAAAAACTCAAAAAATTATTAAAAAAATATGTTCCCAAATGAGTGTTTCGTCTCTTTGGTGTAATTTTTTAAGGGACATTTGCACACAAGTTTTAATTTATGAACTTATACTCCACTAAATTATAATTAAGATTTTTTGAACCTTCAAATCTCATTAAATTTTTAATAGTTGAAATTGCTTTTCAAACAATTATTGTTCATCATTTGTAATCATGTATAAAGGAACATGATAATTTGACGTTTATTTTGATTTTTAAAACTCTCAAATTGAAAAAACAAAAAAAAAAATTATATGCAAAAAAAATATTATTATTATTTATTTGGTGCAAAACTGAATTTTTGTGTCTATAAAGGAGTATGATGATAGAACATTGATGTGCAAAACTGCAAAAAATAAATAAATAAATAAATAAATAAATAGAAGTTCAAAACATCATTTCTCTAACTTGTAATATTCTCACCCTTTCGGTCACCACAACTTCTCTTCTCCAAGCAACTCTTTCTTTCTCACTCTCTTCTTCTGCAATTTCTCTCTACAATCACTGCGGGCATGTAAGGAACTCTTTTATTCGATCAAGCCATATAGGTACGTGGATTGTTTAGTTTTCATAATTGTACATGTATTGAATTTTTTTGCCTCTCCCATTTTGAAATTGACAAATCTCTTCTTTTTTATGACTAATTGGGTTTAAACTAAAATGAGAGAATGGTCTATTCCTATTTAACTTTCATTTTTCTGTTCGATGATGTGTTTGTTTCCCTCCAATTCATTCTGCTTTCTTACTGTTTGATAAAATGCTTTACAGAGAGCCCCCCCCCCCCAAAAAAAAAAAAAAAATAATAATAATTAATTTAGCAATCAATGATGTGATTGCGTTTGAAATAATTATTATTTGATTTGTTTCCTTGGCCTTGGAAATTGGGAATGTGTGTATCATCCCATCACTGTTGTTAAGTTGTTGTGTCATACTTTTTGTGGATTATACATATTGCATTTTCTCTAATAATGGTATGGTTAGATGAGTGGGTTAGCACCATTTTTCATGACAAAACATTTTAATCAGTCGCAAACCCAGAAATTGTACAAAGGAGAGGCCAAGGTAGAATTATTAGAATTTTCGAGGGCAAATTTATATAGATTTTTGAGGGTCAAAATACTATTTTAAAATAAATAAATAAATAAATAATTGAAGATTGCCTAGGTTAATGAGGTTTTTGTGAAGTTTGGGAGGGCTAGAGTAAAATTAGATTTTGGGGGGCTAAAATGTTAATTTGTCCTATAAATACTTAAAAAAAATTGCAAGGGATTAATTATGATTTTGAGAAATTTGGGGGGGACTGTGGCCCCGCCCACCCCTCTGTGTGTCTGCCACTGATCTTAATGACTATTAATACTGTCGTACTGGTCATGTTGCTTTTGATGAAACCATCCAGTCCCCCCACAATCCAACGCAGGTTTTTGTGAAGTTTGGGAGGGCTAGAGTAAATTAGATTTTGGGGGGCTAAAATGTTAATTTGTCCTATAAATACTTAAAAAAATTTGCAAGGGATTAATTATGATTTTGAGAAATTTGGGGGGGACTGTGGCCCCGCTGCAAGGGATTAATTATGATTTTGAGAAATTTGGGGGGGACTGTGGCCCCGCCCACCCCTCTGTGTGTCTGCCACTGATCTTAATGACTATTAATACTGTCGTACTGGTCATGTTGCTTTTGATGAAACCATCCAGTCCCCCCACAATCCAACGCACCACCACACAAAAACTGTTACAAGGATTTAGACATCGAATTCATGCTTCCTTAGAATTTTCTAGCTTTCTCGAAATCAAACAAGTTGTGATCTGGGAGTTTTTTGTTGTTGTATACTCCTTCACCAGCCAATAGTTCAGAAGAAAAAAGAAAGAAAAAAAAAAGTTGTTTAAGCTTCACAGCATTTGGAATAAAAATTGTATGACTACAAAATAGAATAACTGCTTTCATCCTCAGAACATCATTAATCAACTGGAACTAGGAATACAAGCAACTATGGAACTTGTCAAAATTAATTGTTGCTTAGGTGGAACTGTGGACTTTTTGTTTGTATAATTGTTTCTGGCTGGGCTAAATCTAATCATAATTAAGACTTAAGGAAGGAGTGATTTTATTGAGGAAAAAGTAACCAAATGTAAAACTCCTCTTAGTAGCAAATGTTGGTTTCCTATTCTGTTATAATTCGTAGGTTATTATTTTTATTTTATTCTTTTTCAATTTTCTTGGATTAGTTAAACTTTCCTAACTTATAGAGGAAAAAGAATCTGAATTGTGAAGAAGGCAAACGCAAAATCTGTTAGTGAAGATTTTGAGTGTGAGAGAAAATGGATAGAGGTCCACTTAGATGTTATTGATAATCAATGTCCAATCTCTTTTGTTGACTGTCACAGCACTTAGGTTTCCCAGTGTACCTGACATATTTTTATGACTTGTCAGTGTCTTGAGTTGCTTAAGTTCAAGATGAAGTTAAATCCTATATGTGTATGCGTGTGTATATGCATTTGTAGGTATGTATTTATGTATTTTGATACTAAAACAGTAATGCTAAAGCTATTAGTTACTTAATATTTATCTGGCTGGAATTAGTGTGTCTCCCACTCACCAGTTGCCCAATTTTTAAAGAATTTGTTGCCCAATTTTTAAAGAATTTGATGCCCAAGTACTTGATCCAGTAACCATGAGGCCTACTACTTAATGAGATACTATATGATGGGAAGTAGAGAGGAAGGTTAAACTATGGCCATGGCTGGAGTTGCATCTCTAAAGTTTAGTGAAATTTTTTCAAATCTCTGTCGTGGTTTGTTTGCTACAAGTTGGATATCACATCTTTTTGGATTATCAGGTTGCTGATAATTTGGTGTTTTGAGTCGGGATAAATTGTGGACAGCTTAAACTGTAGATCCTTCCACAAATCTCCGTACCCATTGGTATTCTCAGCCCACTGTTCAGCCCATCTAAGTTCATTTTTGGGAGATTTTGGTCATGTTTGGTTACCAATAATTCTTCAATTTCCCAATTATCTGCCAAGCAAGCACTTGAATTTAGGGTCATATCTATTTCCTCTATCCTTCGTTTTTTTTTTTTTCCTTGAAATCGTTGAAATGCTTATTGGATCACTCATGCTGATGCTATATTTGTCACATGGAATCTTGGTTTCTTTTTTACCTCTGCCTTGGGAAGAATGTGACTCAAACCTTCAATTGGTCTGAAATTTCTCTGGGTGATCATCCTCCCATCTCTAACATTGTAGAAATTAATAGCTTCTAGCCTTTTAGGCTCCGGACATGGATTTCGAATCAAGGGAATTTGAGGATAAAAATATTGGACAGTTAGCTATTATGGGTGGAGAGAAAAACTATAGCAGAAGGTAACTAGAGATAGAAGAGATGTATTTTAGTAGGATTTTTGTAGCTATAAGAGAATCCTTAGCATTATTTCGAATAACTACTTTTATATAGTTATTTCAAATCCATCATGATAAAGCTATTTAATTCAATATTGAAATTCATTTGAACATCACGTCTTCTTATTCCATCATGCAGGTTGAATTGAACGAACTGGAATCAGATACCTTATCAGTGCAACTTGTGCATTATGATGTGCAAGGCAACTACCAGGTCCGAGAATTATCTAATGCTAGGGATGATCTTCTTATTAGATTTGGCATTTAGATATCTGAAGTTGGGCAGGTCATGAAATCATTAGGTTGCCAACTTTTCTCCAAATTTGTGTTAGCATTCAACATTTTTAAAGTATAGTTTGCATTACTGGGCATGGAAATGAAGGATTTCAATGTAAGCTGGTGGCAGTGGTTATGGAGCCCTGGAATATTTGACTAAATGCTAGAGTGGTTATGGATCCCCTTCTCCCCTGGCACCCAAAAAAATAAATAAAGAATGAAAGAAAAAGAAAGAGTAAACTGTTAAACAAAGTAGAATTGAGTTTCAGTTAGGATGAAGTGTAAATTAAGAGAAAAAAATCTTAAGATACCTAGTTTTTTTTTTTTTTATTGGCTTTTAAGATATGTTGTTTCCATCTGATAATCAATTTTGCTAGATGTTTAGAATTTTGAAACATCATAGTTATAATAGCACTAGTGAATTGTTTAACTGCTCATTAGCCAGCAATTTCCAGTAAATATTGGAGCTTAAATTGCCATTTTATATAACATAAGTTATTTATGCTGAATCCACCTCCCTGGAATCAATGTTATGTGTTCAAAGTTTAGAGCCCCCATTAACTGCATAAATTGTTTTGCTGCCAAAGATGTGAATTGATCTGCTATGATGAAAAGCAAACGTTGTAATGCATTAAAAAATAACTTAAGTTATTTATGCCGAATCCAGCTCCCTGGAATCAATGTTAACTGTTGAAAGTTTAGAGCCTCCATTATCTGCATAAATTGTTTTGCTGCCAAAGATGTGAATTGATCTACTATGATGAAAAGCAAGCGTTGTAATGCATTAAAAAATAAAATCATTATTCCTGTTTGAGATATTACATTTGACGTGAATGCGGTTTCAACTTTCAAGTACAATATTTATGTTGACAAACAGAACTAGTAATTTGGCTTGTAATGGAGAGAATTTAGGGGATGTGATGAGGCTGAATTAGGGAACGCGTATGCAACTGTTTGCTTTATTTTTTAAGCTGCAGCAATATGTTTATGAATTAGTAATAGAATCCATATGATGGCCTTTATTAGTTACATGCCCTGTGACCCAAAGGATCATGTCTTGTCACTGGGTTCTAATGACAAAGAATAAGCTCTATTAGACATGATGGCCACATTTGATTTGTGGATAAGGAATGAGATATCATGTGACTATTTTATCTCGAGATAAAAAGGCCCTTAAATTAGTTATATCTTGGGTTACAATATGTGAACCAAGCACAAGATAGTAAGATTTTTTTATCCCGGTACTAAGGCTACTTGTACCGGGATAAGTATTTGTCACAAAATTACTAAATTACCCCCATCAGGTTAAGTTATCTCATCTTATCTACAAAACTAACATGGCTTAAGGATAATTCAGAGCACCAGGTTTTTTAAGGCATTGATTAGTGTGGTACCGCAATGAAATGTTTTCTTGCTAGATTAATTTTTATGGGATGGTAAAAGGTAAATAAATGGTCATGCATAATTTTGCAAGAGGTTCATCACTAGTGAGTTGCGATTCATAGGATTCGCTGGGATGGGTTAATCAGGAAAGAACGTGTAAATATGCAGGAATGGCCAGCAATTAGGGCATCAAAACATGTAATCATTTCATGCTTTGAATTGACTATCAATTTCCAGTTGATTTAGGCTTAGAAAACATCATTTCATGTTTCTCCCTGTCCAAAGACTTCTTGTTGGTTGGAAAATGATGAGAGAATTTAACTTTCCAATTACTGTCTCTAATAATTTGGTTAGAAAAAAAAAATTTAGCTGATTTTCTTTTTTGGTTGAAAATGTTGACCAAATAATTAAAAATGTTTCAAAAAAGAGATACTTAGGCCTTGTTTATGAAAATGTTATTTTAATAACTTTTTGACTAAAATTTGAGGTAAAAAAAATAGAGTATGTTTGGAATAAATTTTTGATTTTTTACGAAAAGATGTGTAAAAAGTAAAAAGAAAAATAAATCTTTGACTTTTTAATATAGGCTATAGGTTGGCTATGTTTGATATGCTCATTTGGGCTAAAATAATTATATAGGACAAAATTAACTATTTTAGTCAAATAGAACAAAATGTCACATCCAAACCATAATCATTTTATTTTTTTGCTCACAAAAGTTAAACAAACCAAAAAAATCTATCTCAAACGAGACTTTTTAGCCCTAGGCTAAAAAAGTCAAAAAGTCAACCCACATCCCAAATGAAGGCTAAAGTTGTGTGACTTTATCACCGCTACATCCACTAAATTTGTTTAGTCCGAATTCGCCCAAATGAGTCTCTTCTGGGTAGAGGCTCATTCAGACAAATTCAGACTAAACAAATTCAGTGGACAAATCATTAATCTTTGGCTAGTTAGTGAAAACCTCGTTTGAGAACAAGTTATTTTAGTAATTTTTTAATTTTTTGGTTAAAATATGAGATAAAAAATTAGTATGTTTGGAATGACTTTTTAATTTTTTACGAACAGATGTGCAAAAAATAGAGATAAAAGGGAGTAGGTGACTTTTTTGTATAGGTTATAACATTTTTAGTGATTTTTTGACTTTTAAACTAAAACAGTATGTTGCCAAATGAGACTAGGGAGATAGAGAGAGCCTGGAATTTGAAAATGAGAGGTCATTTTTGAAGAGATGAGTGTATTGCTCAGGGGTCGTTTGACATTGGTTAATATAGAAAAAAAATTTGTGTTAACTTTTTTAGCCTTGTTTTTGTTTTGGGATTTTTATTTTATTTTTTTTGTGAGAAAAAAAATATAATGATTATGAATAAAAAGTAGTATTTTGTCTTATTAACTTTTATAATTAATTTTGTTTTTTTTTGTTATTATTTAGTCCTAAAATAAATGTCAAACCGGGGCTTAACAAACTATTAAATAGTTATACAACCACTTTTATGTATGGTGTACAATCATTTTAAGTATGTCAATGGTTGTTAGTGCACCCGTGAGCAAAATTCTTTTCTTGATCACTAAAGTGCATTACTGACTTTGTTAGTAAAGAAAACCTGGATACCCTCTAAATCTTGAGTCCGACTCCTCTATGGTTATTTTGCGCAGTAGGTTATAAAGCAAGTTTGTGACTGGTCAATAACTTGTGAGCATGGGTAGACATAAGATTTGAAACAAGAAAGGAAGTACATGGATATATACACTTTAGTTGTTTGACATGTATTAAAATAGACATGTTATTTTAGCACATCATTTTATTTGAGTCACATCACATTTTTATCACATCACTTCAACCCTAGTCTACATTTATATTTTTTTCATAAAAAATAAAAAAGTATACTAATCTAGCAGTTCTTAAACAACCTCTTAAACTAGTTTGTTGCCTAAATAGTTCTGCGAACCAATTAATAATGTACTTTATAACATACTGTACAATTAACTTCATAGGATTTGAATTCCTAAATCTCGATCTCAGGAATTCAAATTCCATCATTTCCCTTGCTAACTTAGCTCTTGTTTGCTATGGCTAGATCCTCCTTTGGTTACTACCCCATTCTAATGGAGCTATGTGGTGAAAGCAACAGATCATTATTTCAAGTTTGCCTAGATCATGTGGGCCGTGTGGGTAAAAAGATTGGACCAGGCCAAGTCACGACAGAAGGGCCTTTGGACCAAAGTGAAAGGTGTACTCAAGTAGGGAAGACTTTCTGATATATTTGCTTATTGGCGATGGCATACACCTTGCATAAAGTGCCACCATCTGGAATAAATTTAAAAAAAAAAAGAAAAAGGCATCAAAATCTTTTTGAGGACATAGTCCTCTCTCGTGTTGAATGTCTCTATAATTTCCAATAAAGAAATTCAGTCATTAGAGAGAGCTAAATTTTGGACCCTTTAGGCAGAGTGTGACATATCCATGTGAAATTTACATGGGTTAAAAACTCCTCTCGTCTTAAGTTATGTGTTTTGTATATCCATGTGAAATTTACATGGGTTAAAAACTCCTCTCGTCTTAAGTTATGTGTTTTGTATTATTTTGATCTTTAATGATTTAATTATATTAATTTAATCTCGTAATATATAGAATTTATATTCCAATGTTCCCCAACATTGATGGAAACAGGGTCATTTTGGGTAAAAAACATTAAGATCTCATCAATTATAAACTTTTTGTTAATTAATGTGTTAATATGTTGGGCCGAAAATACGCATGCCCCTAGTTTGCAAATATGGATGAAATGGTCAAATGAAACATTTAAATACAAATTTTATACATTAAAAACTAAATTACTATAATAAAATACTGGAGTGGAGATTAGGGGTTGTTTGGAGTGTCCTAAATAAGTGTACTTTTTGTCTTTTTGAACTAAAAAATTGAGGAAAAAAATATGAATGTTTGGATTAACTTTTTGACTTTTTATGAAAAAATGTGTATTAAAAAATTATATAAATTAGTGTGTAGGGGAAAATTAGGATTGGAAGTTGTGCAGCCGTAATTTTTGATTTTTGATAAATAGTGATAGCTTATTAACTTTTGAGTAACTTTTTGACTTTTAAACTTTTTTTTAACTCGCCAAACTTGGCCTAAATTTTACCCTACTAAAAGCAAAAATCTTTTTCCATGGAAGTGAGGGAAACTTAGGATGTGCATCCTTGGTAAAAAATAATAATTTTTAATAGTAAAAAAATAAAATATTTGTGACGTGTTATGTTAAATTGTTATAAAAATTATGAATGATATTATTATGGGCACCTTAAAATGAAATACATTTTTATTAATAATAAAATTTATATCATTTTGTAATTTTACAAAATTTTGTGATATTATTATAAAATGTATACCATATGTATTGTTTTAGGAGTGGACATACTCACATCTCCCAAGCAAGTAAGAGAGAGCAGAAGTGTCATATTAAGGAAGACAGTCCCTGCACCACTTCTGGAATTTGCCATTGTTTACTTTTTAATAGTGGTACACAATTATTCTGTTTTTTCTTTCCCATCTTCAAAACCAAAGAAAGAAGAAAAGAGTGCTTATAGAAATGATAAGACAGACAGACACCTTAATCAGTGGTCACTCTTTTTGACTCTATCTGCTCTGTTTCTTCTCTTCTCTTCTCTCTCTCTGCCATTTTCTCAGATTCCATGTGATATAGAGTTACTTCCTTCATTTTCACTGCCCTTCTGTTCTTTAGCAATAGAGCATACTAGGGGAAATGACTACTCTCTATCTCTCTCTCTCTCTCTATAAATGATACCTAAGGTCCTGAGGTGACCTCATTGGTGCTTCATTTACTAGTCTGAATCAATCCAAGTGTACAAGTACTTGGCATCTATGGCTCAACAGGTATTTGTTTGTCCCACTCTTATTGTTTTTGGGACATTTTGAAGGATGGTCACTGCTTTTCTAGCTTATTGTCCTCGGAATTCATTTAAGCTGTGTTTGGTAGGAGAATTTGAGGAAGGATTTGGAAAAGGAAAGGGAAAAGTTAGGTGAAATGGGAATAAAATATGCCTACATTTCACCTAGTTTCACACACCTTTTTCCTTTTCCTTTCCAAATCCCTCTCCAAATCCCCCAACCAAACACAACATTAAGTTTTTTTTTATTTTTTATTTTTATTTTTATTTTTTGACTGAATTAATTGCAGGAAGAGGAAGGGTGGCCTTTGGGTTTGCAGCCAGTGAATGTAAGAGTTGGGTTAGTCAGAAACCGTGATTTTTATGTATCAACATCATTCAATACTTTGCTCACCGGTTCTCTGAGTTCCTCTACAGATTCTTCATCTGATTTAGACACAGAGGTCAGTCAAAATAACCCAAACGTTATGAGACATCGTTGCTTTGATCTCTATATACACATATTAAATTTTATATATTTGGTGATTTATTTATTGAGCATAAGGAAGTCTTGCCTATTCCAGAAGACTAAAATCTTTTACTTTGTAGTGAGACACGTGAGTTTTGACCATCCGGACTAACTTAGTTAATTATGTGATTTGATGATTCTGTACAAGTCTGATTTTACTTAAATGATTAGGGCACCCCTGTTTTTGTTTCTTTCAATTTGTTGTTTTGTTCATGTATGAAATGCTTTACTTACATTCTTCATGGAGTTTACATAAATAAATAAATAAAGTTGTTTGTAATTACTTGCTCTCTTGAGTTTGATAATGTGACCTTATGCTTTCCTAGCACTTCTTTGCAGCTTCTTAATTTGTATTTAATTTTTTTTTGTCGGTGTGCACTAATCTCTTAACCTATGATTGGATTTTAGATTTTGTTAGAGATCTGTGAAGCAAAAAAGAAATGGAGAAAGAAATATGAATAAAATATAAGTTAATTTTATTTCACATTTCCTTCTTTTTTTTTTTTTTTCTTCTAAAAATACCTACACAATCCATAATCAAAACACACCAAAATCCTTGATCCAAATTCTAAAAACAGCCTTAGGATGTTGTATATGTGACATGGTCCTCTTATGCCCAGTTCAGTGGTCATGCGTTACTCAATGCTTCAATAAATGCTGACAGTACACAATTGTACTTGGCATGAATTTTCTTGTGAAGCCTTTACCAATTACCTTTCATTGGTCAAATGTTCACTGGCACTGCTTTGTTACCCCTAGCTGACATGTCAATGAAAGACAAATCTTTCATGACTACCTTATTGCTCGAGTTCTGATTTTTAACTGGATATATAGATTTAACTTACTTGTTTATATTGAAAAATTTGCTAATCAATTTTGCAAATTATTAGGAATTACAGTAATAGTTTTGATTTAGCCTTTTTCTTAACCTTCGATGGTAACTGACTCGGATTTCTAGGTGGTCTTTGTCTCACGTTCCAATAGTTTGAATACAGAAGATAAACCAGATAGTACAAGAATGAGGCCCTGGGGATGAGTGAAACATAAGCTTTACCTCTTAAAACAAGTGAAAGCCTATTGACTCCAATCAAACAGTGCCTCGGAGAGAATTCAAACTCAAAATTCGACAAGTAGGATAAAAGCTCTCACCTTTACCAACTACTAGGGTTTGCCACTAGGGTATTTTTTTCACATGACAAAAAGATCAAAACCATGTACTTCATTTTATTTTTTTTTTGGAGAGAGAAATATGAGAACAAGATCAGATAATTTTAAGGCTCAAGCTCGAGTGTCATGCTTAAATGAGCTCCTCGTCTACTAAACCAAATTTTAATCTTTCATGTACTTGAGTTGAAAGTTTGCATGAAGATGTTAAAGTCATTGATCATTATAATAACATTGATGACAATGATTATAATGGCATAATAACAATAAGCATCATAACAACAATTAGGGTTGCAACGGAATGACATCGGCCAGTGGCCTTGAGGGGACACTTAGGTGCTAGTGGGACGAGATCTTATACTAACATCCTATTGTGGGGCACAAATCAAAAGAAAAAAAAAAGAAAAAAAAGAAAAGAAAAAGGGTTGTCAATGAGTTAATTTGAGCTAAGTGTCAAGTAATGAGTTGTTTAAGTTTGACTTGAAAATTTAAAAAATTTCAAAATGTATTTATGTTTAACATATTTATTATTCGAGTTGATATCAAACAAGCTTTAATCAAATAAAAAAACCAGTAGCTTGGTTTTGTATACTATCCTAGAGGTTGAAAGTGAGCTCAAAAAAATAAATGTAATTTAAAATATATTCAAACTCAAGTGTATATCTAACGAATCAATCTCAAACGAGTTTGCAATGAGTCAATTATAAGTTGAGCTCAGATAGATTCGTTCGATTTACAACTCTAACACGAAGAATGTAATGATTACCATCAGTGGCGTTAAAGTGTAATATTCTCATAATCTATGATTTCAGTCCACAGGGTCTTTTTTCCATGACAAAAGCATCACACTTGGGAGCTTAATGGGTGTTTCTAGCATTGTCAATCTCCCTAGAAGATCAGTCAGAGGAAGAAGACCAGAAGTTTCAGGAGAGAAAAAGATCTGCAAGCCCAAAACTTGGTGTTTCTCTCTATGCCCAACGGATAGTACAGATGCCGAGACTGTGAACAACAATACTTTGTCCCTCGGCCACTTTCTAGCAGTTGAAAGAAGGGCTGCCATTGAAGATAGAAGGAACCATTTCCCTCTCATTTATGGACCGCATGAGCTCGCTCTGGCTCAGCCAGAAAGTGAGCAAAATTCACTGTTTGTTGATGACTGCGTTGCCCCTCCTGTTCATTCGAGTCCATGGTTTGGATCAGATATTGGTGAGAGGAGACAGAACAGAGGATTGGAGCATGGTAATGGTGGGTATGGAGTTCCAGTGCTGTTTTCATGCATGTGTGGACAAGAAGTCCACTAATTACTAGCTTGTGTGAAAATTATCTGTGTGTGTTTCTCACATTGATGATTGATTTTTGGAAGAGATTGGAGTTTGAAGTGAAACAGTATTCCATGAAGTTTCAAGTTCTTTGAGAATCCGTCACTTTCTTTTCCTAGTTAAGTGGGGCTTATAGTTCAGTAGTGTTTAGCACATGAGAGCTTCTTGCTCTCCATTAGCCCACTTTAATGGCAATTCAGTGCACGAGATTTCTGTCAGTGTAAAGTCTAAACGAGAGTCAAATTTAGGTAATCTTACCCACGAGTACCGAGCGATTTCATATTTTAAAGCCTTAAAGTTCATATGACAATGGAGTAACTTCACCAATGTCATAAATCGTACTATCCAAATATGAATGCATCTACTGGCTTCTCGTGGCAAATGGAGTTCACTGAGTTTTTATTATTATTTATCAAACTTATATTTTTTTAAAGCATATTTATTGAACTCAGGTAATTTTAAATTTATTTTCTAAACTCTGTGTTATTTTGTGAATTCAATTAGTTTATTATTAGAAAAAATTAAAATTTGTGTTTTGAAAATATAACTTAAAGTCGTCTTTTAAATCATGATTTCTGAAAATAACATGTGTTTACAATATAAAATAAAAACAAAGATAATTCGAAAAAAAAAAAAAATGAGGTATCTCGTCGGTCCACTAGTCGGATAGGGGAGGGTCCAATTTAGACTATTACGGGCCCACATTCGATCCGTTTTGTTTACTCAAATAGTTTACTTTTTGAGTAGATTTTTTTTTTTGGGAACTGTTTTTGAGTAGATATTGATAACCAATGTTTAGATATAAAAAAATAAACAATTTTGTTTTTAAAAGGAGAATTGACCAGCTAATCCCGTTTTGTAGATTTGTAATTCATAAGGTCTTAAATATCTTTTTTGGTGATTGAGTGGTCCTTTAAAGTATTTGTTGATTATTTTTCCATTGTTAGTACAATTGTGAGACAAGTGGCATGGTTATGTATGGGAAGATGGTGGAGGTGTTTGTGTGTCACGTTGTTCAAAAAACGCATTAGTAGCTTTTTAAAATTTGGTTATTTTTAACACGCGCAGTGTGAAATGTGAACTCTTTACTAATTGTTCTTTGGCACGTGACGTGAAGACACGCAATAATTCAATCAAATTGGGTCCACCATGTTAGAGTGTCACATGTTATGTTTAAAAAAAAGTACATTAATGAATTTTTAATTTTTTTTAAAGTGTCATAACATACCCGCCATGTTGTCACATTTGAAAAAAATATACTAAGGAGTTTTTATTTTTTTTTTTGGAGTGTCACATCATATCTATCACATTGTCACATTTAGAAAAAAAAAAATACACTAAGGCCTCGTTTGGCAAGTGACTTTTTTAGCTAAAAAGCTAACAACCTATACCAAAAAGTCAAAGATTCCATTTTCTCTCTACTTTTTGCACATCTTTTTGTAAAAAGTAAAAAAGTCATCCTAAACATACTAGTTTTTTTTACATCATATTTTAGCCAAAAAGTTAAAAAGTTACTAAAAAAGCATGTTCCCAAACAAGGCCTAAGGATGAGTAAAAATTTTAGAGTGTTGCATCACATTGTCACATTTAGAAAAAGTATAATAAGCAGTTTTTAATTTGTTTGGAATGTCCTATCATTGAAGTATTACATTAATACCTATCACATAGGAGTATCACGTCATACCTATCATACTTCAGTCAAAAAAAAAAAAAAAAAAAAAAAATTCCCAATTAACTAGTGAGAGTATATCTGTCTAACCAATATCCATGTACATTTGAAAAAAGATTTACTAGTCACACACTACATCTAATAAGGATTTCTCAATCAACCATTTAAAACGTAGGAGCATATAGTACAGAAGTTCTCAAAATAGGATTTTCCAATAAATTTTTCTTTTTAAAATTATACTTATTATTTTTTAAAAAAATAAATAAATATAATTTAATGTAAATTTCAATAATTAATTAATCCAATATTTTTCATAAATAATCTTGACAATGCACTAACAATTAAACCAATCGGATCAACAAAATGGACCACATGTCCAGATTTCTCCCCGTTACTTCTTATGAAAATTTTCAAATTTTGATATTGTTATTCCTGATTTTTATCTAGAAGCATAATTTTATTGGAAAAAAAAAAAGGAAAAAAAAAATCTTATTCTTATGGTAGCTTAATAATATCCCTTGTCGTACATGACAAGCTAATCAAGCCTCATTCATCATGTGAGCTTTTCAACTATATTGGTGGAACTGGATTTTCAAAAAAACAAAATTTAATATGGTTCCCTTGGTCAGGGATAAATGACAATCCACCTGTTGTTGTAGATATTTATGGTCTTTCTTTCTTTTTCTCTTAAGAACATTATGCCAACATCTAACCACTTTTGTTCCCAAAAAAAAAAAAAAAAAAAAAAAAAAAAATAAAACAAAATTTTTTTTTTTTTTTTTTTTTTATTTATTTTTAATTATTTTATGAGATGAAAAGAAATTGTGTTGAGATGATTTGTGATTTTTTTTTTTTTTTGGTAATTAAATACTTGATTGTAAGATAAAAAGTAATTGATTAATACGTAAGATATGACATTTTGTCTTATTAAATATTTTAATCATTTTTGTCTTGATTGACTAGTTTAGCCTCACCCTTTATTTCCAAACAAGGCCTAATCTATAGTTTGATTTATAAGGTTTGCAAATAAATTGACTTGGAATTAGAATTCTGCGATCAAAAACGTTTTAGATCTCTAAATGAGGAGCTCTAAAGGCGGGCCCCATCTTATGATTTAATATTTTGACTTGTGATTTTGTATTTTGTATTTTTATTGTTATATGTATTGACACATCACTTGAGTGGGCATTAGAGTTTCAACTCTGGTACTCTTTATCATTACTGTTTTGGGATGTATGAGTTCTACACTAAAGATTTAAAGCTCGTTTTGAAACATGTTTTTTATAGTAATTTTTAATATTTTGACTAAAATATAAGATTAAAAAAACCTAAATATGTTTTAAATGATTTTTTTAATTTTTTTTATAAAAAATGTGCAAAAAAATAGAATAAGTAAAAAAAAAAAATCTTTGCCTTTTTAATATGTACTGCCCTTTTGATTTTTTTAAATTACTTTGTAGAGTTTTCAAACGATTCCATAATTGAGTTCGAAGTTTAAAGAATTAAATTTAATCACACATTTCATGATTTTATTTCTTCACAATCATATACATATGTCACTACTGTTAATTACATAGTATAAATAAAAACGTTAAATCAATTAGGAAATCTCTTGCTTTTGGCCTCTTTTTAGCAAATAAATTAAAAACAACTTTTTCGATTTTTTAGTTTTTTATGATCACATTATTTATTTATTTTTTATATATATTTTTCATAAAATATTAAAAAAATCAAATTTTAAATTTACCCCCAAATTGATCATTGTGAGCTCAATGCAAGTCTCTATTGAATTGTCAGCGTTCCCATAATCCATCTCTCAATGACAATCTTGACCGTATAATTCTCAATCTTGGATTCCTATGCCACGTGGACCCACATGAAAAGGCACTGTTGCAAAAGGACCCCACATCATCACCAAGTCAATGACTTGTCCAGTCCACGTCATGCGGTTAATTGAGGGCTGCTAAGACCTTTTACATTAGTAAACTATTTTAATAAGTTAAAATTTTTGTGTTTGGCAAGATAATTAAATTTTTTTGTAATTAAATATAATATTTATGAGAGAAAAATTAAAATGATTATAAATTTAATGTGTCATCTTATCTTATCAATTATTTTATTTTATTTTATTTATAAATTTTAACTCAAAAAATAAAAAAATAACCTTTGCCAAACACCTCACTGGCCCAATAGATTTTGGTTCTAGGAAAAAACACAAAAACAAAACAAACCAAACTAGTTGGTACTTTGTGGCACTCCTTTATATCAACACACCACAATCCATGACAAAAAAATAACAAAAGGACAACCATATTGGTCCCCTTCCCCCTATCATTCAAGTGAAGTGACTTATATGTCTCATTTGACAACATTATTTTTTAATTTAAAAGTCAAAAAATCATTAAAAAAAATTAAAAAATCAACAACTTATATTAAAAAGTCAAAGATTTTATTTTCTCTTTACTTTTGCACATCTTTTCGTAAAAAACTAAAAATTCATTCCAAATATATTAGTTTTTTTACATTATATTTTAGCCAAAAAATTAAAAAGTTACTAAAAAAAACTTATTCCCAAACGAGGCCTCATATTACAAGTAAATTAATCTGGACACACTCACAAAAAAAATAAAAAATAAAAAATTTATGTTTTCCAAACTCTCATTGTTCAAATTTTGTAAGAGAAGTTGAATCTCTCAACGAAACATGAAAATGTACACTTGATTCTCTCACATAATTTGAATTGAATAAAAGTTAATTCTCAAATTTGAATTAAAATTTTAAGGGAAAGCAAGCCCCTTTCGTATATACATTGTCCAAGTAGTCCTACACAAATCAATTCTCTCAAGCAAACATTCTCAAAAGCAAACATAGTAATTCAAAAACAACCATATAATTATATCCAATTAATAATAAGGGTATATAATCATTTTGTAAGAAACTAGGAATAAAATACAAAAAAAATTTAATTCAGTATAATTTTTTAAAAGTAATTACAAATACATAAAATAAATTATATTTTTAATTATTAAAATTGATAAAATTTACCATTAGTTTATAATTAATAATTTTTTTTTTTACAATTACATTGATCAGTAATTTCTCCAATAAAATAATTCAATGATCTCTCGACCCACATGGTAACTTTTGCCTCACTTGAGAATCTGAGATCATCTACGTCCATGTGTCAAGATCAAGTCAGAAATCAGCTAACCCCCACATCCCACCTCACTTGTCTATATATATAATTGAAGTAAAGATTAAAAATTTTAATTTTGAAACTCCAAAAGAGTTTTAGTAATGTAATAAAGAGTGATATTCATAAGTGATGTGATGTATATCTACATTTTTATTTTTATTTATTTTTTTCTCTTACCACGTCACTAAATCTTTTTATAGAGGTTCAAAATTATTCCTACTATCGTCATTGATATAATTGAATGAGGTACAAAATGATGGTACCCAAAATTATTGACCCAGTGGTGACTTGATCACATGGCATTCAATCCACCAACAAAAGAGGCTCATTTCCTTTTGTAATTCAACAATGATTTAGACCACTAAAAAATACATCACTAATAGCACTAATACATTGGAAATGACAAAGAAAAATAATAAAAAAATAAAAACAAGGCATAGAAAGTAGACGGGGCCCACTGCCACATCATTAGTGCTCCCTTTAGTAATCTCCTTTTAGTGCTCCCAAGCATTTTTCTTTGTAATTTAATGTTTTCCTTTTCTATTAATAATTTAGAAAAAAAAAATAATATATAAAACAATTGAAACTTCACTCTTTCAAACCTAACCCCCATCTTTTTGACTCCTTCCAAGGGCTACAAGCAGGCAGACATTGAAGAATGCAAATTTCACTTTGAAAAGAAGTAAATAAATAGACTTCTTGTTTGTTTTGTTTAAGTAACTAACAGAGGCCCACGCTGCTTCTTCAAGCTGAAGGTAAACCAATATTACAACAATTTGACCCACACAAAACAATACTCACCAACCCAAACCTGAAAATCAATACTTATTCATTTCCCAAATCTACAATGCAAATTGAGATCTATCTACCTATCTATCTATCTATACCCCAAATGAATTGGGTCCTGGACCCCCATGGGGGTTAAAATCGACTGCCAAATGCAATTCTTGAAACCAATTTTTTCTCGGTATCAAGATTTATCCACCCACTCATTTTCAGCGGCAATCCTACCTGAGCCACGGCCTCCCATTTTACCAAATGAGCCCATTGCCGACAAGCTCTTGAAACTGCTGCTTCCCTCGCTGAAGTTCTTGGACTTTCTTGACCTTCTTAGCTTCGAGGAGGTAATGTCGTGGTCAGCGTCGACATTGTTGGTCTTAACTTTGGCAACCGCTAATTGGGCAATGCTGCTCCGGCAAAATGGGCAAACTGGTGCAGTAAGGCATGTCGTGGTTGGGTTAGGCTTGTTATGACAGCATAATGCGAGCGTGCATTGCGCACACATCTGGTGACCGCAGTCTTGGACTTCAATTGTGCACACTTGATCAAAGCATATGCAGCATAGCTCGGTGTCACTCGACTGCATAAAATGGAAGCAAATGGATAAGCTGTCAAGAATAAACATTCATTTATAATTGACAATAAACCACCATTATGAAACAATTTTTGCTCGGATCAGAGCACTACAGGCGAGAAAAACATATCAAGCAAGATAAGAATTTACACAAAAATCCACTATTAGGCTTCTATATCGACTTTCCACAAAGGCCAACGACAAAAGTCAACAAAGGAAAAAAAAAAATTAAGTTTGAATAGTTCTGGTCAGCTTAGAAGTCAGATAAACTATTAAGAAACAAGATTTCAAATTTGAAATTTCAACCGTGTTTCATTTTTGGAATTTCTAGTGGATATTTTGTGCATATAATTCCAAAATCTGAAAAAAATTCAACATTTTTGGGATTTAAATTGATTTAAAAACAAGGGTAAAAAGATTTTACCCCTTGATGAGAAGAAACAAGTTACCTCAGAAATATTGTCATCAACCCCAGTATCAGAATATGATGGAGATGGAAGCGAGAAATCTGTCCCCTTCAAAATGGTCTTTTCCCTCTCCCTGTTTGCCTCCATCAGTGCCTGTTCTAACAAAGCTTTTGCCTCTGCATTAAGCTCGCTAATGAACTTCAAAGGTGATGGCCAAACAAGAGGCTCTGCTGATGAAGGATTCAGCAACGCTGCACAAGCTACATGCTTGTGCTTTAGAGCGACCATGTATGGTATTCTCCTGCACCAGAGACATGATTGGACAAAGAGGGTTCAATTTCTCATTTTTTATAAGCATTATGTAAGAGAACAAAACTTTAGTTCATGTCGCACATCAATAAGTTGGGACAACTACCATATTCTGAATTTAAATTCTGGCTTCAGATTTTATTTATAATTAGAAAATACCCTAAAGAATGTTAAATCATCACTCACTGAAATAATGATAAACACTCTGGATTTCCATGACAACGAGATTGAATTATCAGGCTCAACGGTAATAAATTGAGTAAAGGATTTTAGAGTTTTCTCATGGTGACAGTCCTTGGCTCTATATTTATTTTTGAACCTATATTTAATTTTGGTGGTAATTACACCAACATAAGGTTTCCAACAAATTTTTCCAACAAGATGTAAACAAATTGGCTTAGCTAAAATGATATGAATCCATATGTTTTGATTTTCACAATACCCAGATGAGTCTCTTTGGAGTCGATCTGCGCCCCATGCCAACAATTCGCGGATGCAATCCAGAGAACCCCCTCTAGCAGCCAAATGAAGCGGAGTGCTTCCAGGGAATCTGTGAGAAATTTTTTATCAAATCAAATACACAATCAACACCAACAGTCCATATGTTTTGATTTTCACATACCCAGATGAGTCTCTTTGGAGTCGATCTGCGCCCCATGCCAACAATTCGCGGATGCAATCCAGAGAACCCCCTCTAGCAGCCAAATGAAGCGGAGTGCTTCCAGGGAATCTGTGAGAAATTTTTTATCAAATCAAATACACAATCAACACCAACAGTAAAGAGTTTAATCCAATTATTACCCATATCCACCGGTTGAAGCACATACAAGAGCTCCATTGTCCAAGAGAATATGGACACATTCGGGCCGTCTTTGACGGGCTGCTAAGTGCAATGGGGTTGCTCCTTTACCATCTCTAATATTTACAAACCGGGTATAACCCCTGTAACCCAATTCAATACATTGAATAACCAGTTAAGAATTGTTCAAATCAATCCATACAAGAACACACACACACAGATACCCACCAAGAAGCGGCGACATGGGAGTGACGGGCTGAAGAGAGAATTGCTTGAAGGCAATCAGAATGACCATAGTAAGCAGCATAGTGCAAGCAGGTTCTTCCATGAATTGAATCAAACATCAAAATCTGAAATTAAAAATAAAATAAAACAAAGATAATCAAGATCAGCAAATCATCAAATTTGACTACATCTAGTTCAGCAAAGATTCATACATAGACATATGGATAAAGAAACAAAACAAAACACAACACAACAGAGAGAGAGAGAGAGAGAGAGAGAGATATGGGAATTTGACATACATTAGCTCCAGCTTCAATAAGCTTTTGCACACAAGAGATCTTCCCATGCATCGCAGCCAGCATAAGCGGAGTCTAAAACATTCACAATTGCCAAAATTATAAAACCAAAAATCAATAAAGTGGACAAAACACAAAATTTTACACCAAACAACACGCAAGATCAAACATTTAAAAGCTAACCGATTTCACATTCTGTTTGGTAAACAGAAATTGTACGTAAATAAATGGGAAAAAAAAAAATCAAAACTGTCCCCCAACAATTTTCTGGGCACCCAATCAGACATTGAACCAATTCTTCCTCACCTGCTTATGACGATTCAACAAATCTGGTTTAACAGATCTATCCAAAAGCATAGAAACAATCTGAAACAAAAACAAAACCATCAATCAAAATTACTCCAAATTTCGATTTTAAAAAAAAAAAAAAAAAAATCCAAAAACATAGAAACAATCTCGATCTGGCCATTGGCAGCAGCGATGTGAAGAGAAGAGTGGCGATCGTAGACTGTGGTCTGGTTGATGAGAGTTGGGTCTCTCTGTAACAGATTCTCAACAGTTTCCAGGTCTCCGAACTGAACAGCAGTGTAGAGCCCATGCTCGTAGTTCGCTGCGCAACTAAGCCCCTGACCCATCACTTCCCCTTCTCTGTCTCTCCTCTGTCTCTCTCTCTCTCTCTCTCTCTCTCTATATATGTATTATGTGTATATGTTTATGGCAAGGCAATGGAACCCAGAGGGAGATGCTCCACCTGGGTCATTTGCCGCTGTGCCTAGAGGTGGAGGTGGTGGTTGTGGCGGTGGCTGAATGGTAAACTTTGCATTTAAGTACTCTCTCTCTCTCTCCGCGGAGTTTGTTTAGAGAGAGAGAGGGGTTGGATTGGAGAGCGGGCAGCTATAGAGTCAGAAAAGGGGCAGTTACCTAGAGGGAGTGGCTCATCGGGCATCGGTCAGATATTTTTTTGGGCAGTTTTTATTATTAAAGATTCCCAATAATGTTGGTGAATCATTGCATTTACATTTCAGTAATTTCCACAAAAGATTGTACGTAATTTAGGGGTATAAAAATGACTGTCGGATTTAGCAGGTTTGCGCCAGAAATTGGGCCGGGTCAAGCCGGGTTTCTCGTGCAAAATTTTGGTCTAGGCTCAATTCCAGTCCTAATGGCTACTTGGGCGGGCCAGGCTTAGACATGGGCATGAATTCGGGTTCGTGACAAGCCTGGGTCAAGTTTGACCTTTTAATTTTTTTTCATTATTTTTTTATTTTTTTAACCAAAGTAAATTTAAAATGACATTGGGACTTGAGCTGGGCCAAACTCAAAACACACGGCCCACCTCAGGATCACGGGCTAGGCTCGGACTTAGGCCTAGTCGAGTCATGTTGCGGACGGGTTTCAGGTTTGTTGTTGTCTAATGGATCGATTTTATACCCCTACATATAAGTCACAAACAAATAAGGTTAAAGATTTCAAAAGTTTTATTAAATGTCTTATATGGGTGTGGGGCTCATATGTGACTTACATGGTGCGAGTTTTCCACCCATATAAGACATTTGATAGAAATTTTGATAAATCCTTAGATTTTTACCATTTTTCATCACAAATTGATGATTAGTTTCAAACAAAAATAATGGTTATTTTAAAAAAAATCGAAAAAAATGATAACTTTTTTTTTAACTAAAAAAATGATAAAAATATTTTTTTTAAAATTATTTTTGACCTTTTAAAAGATAAAACTATATAAAAATGATAAGTGTTTTGACTTTTTAATTTTTTCACCAAATTAATTTTTAATTTGTTAGAAAAAAATTCTTAAAACATAGCCAATAAATTCTATAAGCATAACGCAATGAGGGTTAAAATAATTAAAATTAATATAGATGGTATGTAAATTTAAAAATAACTAAGAATAATATGTATGTATGTATATATATATATATATATATTAATGCAAAATAAACAATAATATTATTATTTTCTTATAACAATTGATTGATAAAAAAGTGAGTAGAGATGTTTTAAAACTTAATGTCACGCCCCGAAAATTTACACAACAAAGATTCATTAACTTCTATTGTTTAATATAAATGAAAGTAAGTTTCAATATTAACACCATCCTCAAATCTCCAACATTTGTATTCATAACCATCAAGAGATTTATAAAAGAATATTCCACATGCGATTATATGTTCAACATCCCTAGTATATGAATTTATAGCATGTGGCATAATAAGTCAAGTACGATTAAATGCCCTCAAGAAATACAAATTTTAAGGCTTAAGCTCGATTTACACAAAAGTGATTTTTCAAACCCATACATATAAAGTTTTTGGCTTGACAAAATAATTACAACAAAGAAAAGAGCCTGGTGCTCTCAAAACATATTTCCACGCCTCTAACTTGGCGGGATCACCACATCATTTTCTGTACAAAATCTCATAGGGTGAGCACAAAGCTCAGTAGAAAAATCTTAACAAAATACATACATTTTATACAATCTCATGGGATGAATGCATATGTCATGCCATGTTTAAAAACATATATCTCTATCTTTTGAAACTTTTGTGCACAATGCAATCTTAAGAATTTAACAATTTAATAATTTCAATGTAGTTTAAAGGGGCGGTAAATACGATTTAGATAATCCCTTCGTTGGTGTTTGCAAGTAAGTATAATAAGTACTACCAATCCCCACTTTATCAGTAGCTAACTGGAAAGCATGTGTTACCTCCTCCGCACATGTTTTTAGTCTTTCACCATGGAAATTTAGGTCAACTTAACTAATACCAACTACACCCCCTATCCGAACTTACCAACATATTTATCCCAAAAATAAATCAATATGATTTTATTTCACAAAACAATTTACTTTCTCAAAGCAATACTTTTTCCAATGCAATACTCAAAATCAATTACATCAATGATAAAATGGAATGGCAATGCAAATGTCCAATGCAATAATAAAGGTCCATTTAAATATCTAAATAATGCCAATTCGAAAGGTGATGATAATGAAATCAAGTGCCAATGCAACATATTTCTATATCAATGCTTGAAAATTCCTCAATTCCTCAATTCATCCAAACGATCCTTTATTGTGATCAAATTCCCACATCCCTTGTCATTATAACATCATGATACACTTTCAAGAGAATAATTAATACAATATCAACCCTCATGTATTTTCTATAAATTCATCATCACTTTTAGCATTCAGTCTTTCCAAAATAACAACAATAAGCTATTGCTCAAGCTTTCCAATTCTACAATTTCTCATTTTCTCATGAAATCTTTTCATTTGATACAACTATAGAATGTCCTCAAACATTTACTCACATAGAAAATTATCAAGTATCAATTACACAATATCACAACTTTTTTTTCAAAATCTCCAAATTCTAGAATTTCCACCAAAACAAGGTTTTTGCTCCATTTTTGAAAAGATTTTTTCAAAACAACGCCCACACCTTAGAACATACTCATATTCTCAAAAGTTTTGAAAAAAATAGATAAAATCAACTTCTAACATTATCTAGGATTCAGTAACCCAAAATCATAACTCAAAACATGATGAAATACTTAAAACATGTATAAACTTGCAAATATATATATATATATATATATAACTTAAAGAATATCCCTACCTCAAGCTTGGGAGATGAAGAGGATGAAAACCCTATAAATCAAAGTCGACAACAACATAATCCAATCAGTTATAAACGTAGCTCTCATCGGCCTCTTCGATTTGGTGTAAAAAAATCCCTTTAAACTCTTGAAGATTTGAGCCAAATCTTAGAGAGAAGTTGGATTTGGGTGTGTTTTTAGAGAGAAGGGATAGAAAAGATGAGTATAGAGAGAGAGAAAGAGAAAGAGAGAGAGAGAGAGAGAGAAGTGAAAAACATGTGTGAAAAAAAGGGCACGAAAATCGAGACATACATGCCGAAAATCCGCTCGAGCGGTTTCAATTCCGCACGAGCGGAATTTTCTGCCTCATGGGCGAATTACTCCAGAGAGCTGTCCAGAAATTCACCATCCGCTTGAGCGGTTTTCTTCCCAAAAAGCCCACAAGACTGTGAAGATCCTCTCGGGCGACCCTCAATTTCCAACGAGCAATTTTGCCCAGAAACCAGAGTTTATTTTTTGGAATCCAAGACAAATTCCAGTGCTCAAAACTCAAAATTTTCAATCCGGAAAAGTTAAGAGAGGTTAAGTAGGAGTAGAAAGGGAATTTCAACGACCCGATACAGCAAACCAAACACTGAAAGAAAAACATACTACCCTACTACACAATACTATTCCAATCTCAAGACCCAGGACATCACAATTAATGTGTTGTCTAAAGTTATTATGTTGCCTACTTTTAAAATAATTTATATAACATTTCACTCCAATTCAAAATGGTGGAGTGAAGTAGGATTATGTTAAAATTTAGGTTAAAATTTAAATATTTGATTTTTACAATTAAAAGTTTAGAAAATTGGTGACATAAGTTTTTTTTTTCAATGAAATTTCTCTTTGAAGAGCTGTGAAAAAAGAAATTTATCTGTGAGGAGCTAAAAATTTCTCTTCTCTGTGAAAATGTTAACGGATCCCAACCACAATAAAAATGTTGCATGTCCTTTATCTTATAAATTGTTAATATCTGAGACCTTAAACTAAAGGGTCAGGTGTCTCTCTAGTTCGAAATCAGACTAAAGCGTGTTGTTGGGCTCATGGAGACCCATCACGAGTCTTGTTTTGATGATCTGAACTATACAATGTGTAGAACTCGCCGAATTTTTCATCTTTGCAAAATATCACGTTAATCAGATATCCATACCCACTTGATCAAAACATGTTTCCATCAACGGTAAATTTGATTTTCAAAATAAATTATCGACAGAAATTTGATCCGATCAAATAGCTATCGATATCAGATCAACGTGATGTTTTACAAGAATGAAATACTCGACAAGTTTTACATATTGAACGGTTCAAATTATCAAAAAGAACCTGTGATGGGCCATATAGGCCCAGACTGGAGAGAATCTATTTCCTAAACTCATTAAAAGTTGAGTGATTAAAGTGAAATTCAAATAACAGTTTAAAAATAAGATCATTAATTATATAATTGATAAGAAAGGTAGGATTGTTATATAATCATCATTAATTTCTCTCTTTGAGTAGGTACATGTAAAATCCCAAAAATACAAAAATGGTATTAATATATTTGTAACATTAAATATATTTTATATTTTGTGTATTTGTGTATTTACACATCATTTAGCCTTATTAGCAGATAAATCAGTGTAATTATGTTAAATTTGGGAGGTATGTTATATTTTTTTTAAACCTCCAAATTAGTAAATATAATTTACCATTTTAAAATGGTTGTGCCTAATTTATATAATTAACAAAAAGTAAAATAAATAAAATAAAAAGATTGACTAGTGCCACATGAACGTCGGTACACCAAATGGTAATCAAGATTAAAGGGCTAGGGATGATTGATGTACTTTATTTTTGGGTTAAATCAGCGTCACCTTTTAAAAAGAAAAAAAAAAATACAGAAAGTTTTATAAATTTGATACATTTATATTTAAATTTCTTAAAATTTTAATTGACATAACACTTATGAGGTGTTGGATTGGAAGGATTAGGGTATATGATTGGATTGAAATCCATTGGAAGCCCTTTATCCGGCGTTTTTTTTTTTTAGTCCGCTGGACATAGAGTCTGGCCAAACTCCTTGTCTTACACTGTTCGAGAGGGTGTGGAACAATTTTCATAAAATAACAATCCTATGGAATTAAACCGTAAAAAATTTATTTTGCTCTCATCATATATCATTTAATTTCTCTATTGTGATGCTGCTGCTGGCTGTTTGTTGTTAATGGATACTGCTGATTTTTTTATTTTATTTTATT